TGAAGCATTTAGACACTTTAAGCAAACAAACTTCAAGAAAAAAACTGGGATGCAAAATGGAGTCAAGCATGGCTTAGGATCAGAGCCAGTGGATTTTTATCGATGAGGCTCGCATAATCCTGTTAATCGACGGAAAAGATGCACAGTTTTGCTGGGAAGATGTGTTATCTAAATTTAATATGCCTAAACGTTGGTGTCCAAAATCGGGTAGTATTTCGCAAACAACCTACTATTATTGTATTGGCTCAGGGCAGTTTGCCTGGATGATAACTGGGTGGAACTAGGGAAAAAACCGCTCTTTACAGATAACTGAACGTGCAAGGCACTAGAGGCTTTAGTGATTCGATTTCCAGGGCTTGACACGCCAAGCAAGAACTTGTTGCGTAATTCCTAGAGACACCTCCATAGAAAGTTGTTTTAAGCGGGAAATATGTGCAAAATGATTACTGATACATAGTAGCATCTAACCTGCTGAGTGGTTCATTTCAGAACTGTGCAAACCACTTGTAGTTTGAGTTCAAATTGGGTTTACTTGTAGTCAAAAGTCCTATTTACGTGCCACGTCTCTCTGTATCTGGTGCCTGTCGTCTTTACCATTTATGCAATAAGCATGTCGACGTGAGGAATTACGGTTGACCATGTTGCGGTAACTGCTCACACTATAGACTCTGGTTCCACTATATACAAACACAACACGACCATGCAGTGCAGATCATTAAAAATGTACGGACAGTATAGTACTTTAACAAAAAAGTTGACGGATGGCCACATCAACAGAAAACAATAGCACTACAGCCAGCAAACGTTGTTCATGCCAACATCTGTAGATCAAGTTTTCTAGTAGGCTTTTTTCTCAAATTCTTTTAATTTCTAACATAAGCAAAGTTAAATTTAGAGGAGCCAAAGTTAATAACTTTGCACTAGCTAAAAATGGATTGCGTGTACGCAAAATAATTTAAACCTAGACATACTGTTTCAAAGCGAAACTGCTTCAATCGAAACTGCTTAGTCAGAGTACAAACCTTTCGACCAGGAACTGGATGCACCACTCTTCCAAAGCGTCCATCTGGAGAGATTTTGCCATCTGAAGGAGGTTTTGTGCGTTGTCCTGGGAGATGTTGGCCTTTCCTGTGTAAACATATTCCAGTAGGGCCTCCACCGCACTACATTAAGAGAGGCGTAGAGGAGACAGGAACCGGTAATCCTCACCTCTGTGAATAGGAGGTCCATGAGAGACTACCACCAGGTCTTGCAAGGCTCTCCTCTAGTGCTGGGATCCTGGCTGCCAGGATGATTCGGTGGGCATATACCTTTTGCCCGTTGAGTACCTAACATCCCCTGCATGGATGCTTCAACTAGGACAGAACCTACCTCTATGGTTAAATCCGGTGCGAAGTTGGCCTTGCGTAAGTCTTCCAACCTGCCACAACTCTGCTTCAGAGGATGCTCGTCACTGAAGTATGACATTTTTTGGGAAGCAGTTTGCAGAACAGATTAATCGACGTCTTTCTTGCGACCCGAGAGCCGGTGAAATGAAGCAGGAGTACTTTTAAGCCGAATTGTCACCCGATTTTGTCCAACTGCTTCAACTTGAATATTCTGCAAACAGCAGGCTGACGTGGCTTCAGCTGTCTGGTGCGTTGACAGTGTGCCCAATTCCACGCGCTAACAGTCGTCGCTGCTTATTTTCCTTGTAGCCTTGTTAGTGGGCCGCTGTAACAGCCAATCAGAAGGCGACCTTGGCAGTGTTGACGCCGTGCGTTTTATCCGCTGACGAATCCCCACTTCCGCACGCAGACATATCCATGCGTGCTTGTTATTGTTGTTTGAATCGATAGCTTCACAGACCCGATTATTTGTTTTTAGGGCTGAATTGGTGCTGCCTCGCGTGCCTCGATCGGCGGTGGGACTTGGTATTCTTGTATGGAACTAGTTCTCGAGAGGAGGGCAGATTGGTAAACACCTCTGTCGGATCCAAAGACATGCCAAGAAAAAGGCGTTACACTTAAGAAAACAATCTGTATGGGTCTACGTACGGGGAGAAGTAGTAAAGCCATAGAATGGATGGTTGCTAAGCGCCGGTGGAAATTCCCCTAATTGAAGTTCTGGGGGGACGTAGGGCTTCGCGCCTCCCCGCCTTTGGGATGGAGAGATTCTACTACCCGAAGTAGTACGTATCCGTCGTCTGCTTACAAAGTATGGAAAAGGATTGAATTGGAATTGGTGTTATTGGAAGCTCACGGGCCGTTAATTCATAATTATTACAAAAGACCCGCCAGATTTATTGTGTGCTCTAGTAGGATAATCCAAAGAATCTGGTTTTATTGAGAATAGAAAACAAAAATAGGCTTGTCAAAACAGTCATTAACGCAGGATCCCATATGCCAGGAAACTAGCCCTGCGACTAGCGAGATTTCAAAATGGTTCCTTAATTCTGTGGATCTTTTTTGTCAGTACCTTTGAATGCGTATGAAGTTGGTGTTTAATAAAGTTACGAGGTGGTTGCACAGTTCGATAACCTGATCAAAAGCAAAACCCGGGCCGGAAACTCTACCCAGTCGAGGTGACTGTTAGCATTCCTGGTGCATGAATAGATAGGGAAACAAAAGAAGCAGAAAAAGAAGAAGACGAAGAAGAAGCAGAAGAATAAAAAAGACGAGGGAGAAGAGGCAAAAGAAGAAGCTGAAGAAGAAAAACAAGAAGAATTGACGCAAAGGTTCACATCCCAGGTATATGCATAGATTGAGAAGAAGTAGTTTCGATCACCGGAATC